TTCTCAGTCTTATCACCACACATCTTCCCAGAGTGATGGCTGTAATATACTCATGGTTTACTTAGAGACGTTTGAGGTAGGACATTACTTTCAGAACAAAACAAAGCTTTAAATTACACACATCCACACAGAATACTGCTTTGGGTTTGCTTTCTGAGGTCTTTGCTTCCTTCCAGGTTTAAGAGAACTTTCCAATTTGCCTCTCATAACAACTGCATTGGAAAGAAGCAGCAGCAGGTGGGGAGGGGGGCTCCCACATTTTCGACACTCGCTCAGCTTCCAGGATCCCACATTCTTACATTTTTCTCCTTTCTCCCTGGCTGTCCCATCTCAGTCTCCTTTGCTGGCCCTTCCTCCTTTTCCCAACCTCTAAATGTTAGAGGGACCCTGGAATTGGTCCTGGCCTTCTCCCTACATTCTCTCTCTGCATCCAATCTCTGATGCTCCTTAGGGCCCAGGGGTTAAAATACCATCTGATGACACCCAAATTTCTTATCTCCAGTGCTAACCTAAGCCATGCCCTCCAGATTCATACATCCTATTGCCTTCTAAATGTTGGCATTGGGACATGAAATAAGTATCCTGAGTTCAACACAGCTGAGCCAGAAAATAGCAATCACCACACTAGCCCCTCCATCCCCATGGCTCCTCATTTTAGTAAATGCAAAACATTCACTCATTCAGAACAAAAATCTTGGAATCACTTTTTTTCCTTTATCTCACACCCCACATTTGGTAAGTTCTATTCCCCAAATATAAATCAGTTAGACCAAGCCACTGTCACCTGTTTCCTGATTATGGTCACATCCACCTGGTCACCTGGTCACCCTCAATTCCACTCTTACCCCTTGACAGTCTGTTCATTTCACAGCAGCCAGAAGGATCTTTGTAAAACATCCATCAGCTATTATCCCACTGCCCAAACCATTAATAGCTTCATGTGTCACTTAGAATAAAAGCCAAATTCCTCACCACAGCCTCAGGGCCTGTGGGCCGTGTCCCCTGCCTGCCTCTGTGACTTCCTCTCCAACCACACCTCATTTTCCCCCAGCCACACCTTCCCATTCCTTCTAACATGCCAGGCACGTCCTCCCACCGTGGAATCTTTGTCCATGCTCCCATTCTTCTTCTCCTTTATGTTACCTTCCCAGGCTGGCCTTCCTTGGCCAACTTACCTAAAAGAACCCCCATCAGGATCCTGAATCAATGTACAGAAATCCACTGCATTTCTATACACTAAGCAATAGAAAGAAAAATTAAGAAAGCAATCCCATCTACAATTTCACCAAAAATAATAAAATACTTAGGAATAAACTTAACCAAGGAGGTGAAAGACTATAAAACACTATAAAAAACTATAAAACACTGATGAAAGAAACTGGAGATGACACAACAAAATGGAAAGATATTCCATGCTCATGGATTGGAAGAACAAATACTGTTAAAATGTCCGAAACTATCTGAAGCAATCTATAGATTTAATGCAATCCCTATCAAAACACCAACCATATTTTTCACCAAACTGGAACAAATGATCCTAAAATTTGTAATGGAACCACAAAAAAAAAAAACTCAAATAGCCAAAGCGATCTTGAAAAAGAAGAACAAAACTGGAGGCATCACAATCCCAGGTTTCAAGTTATACTACAAAGCTGTAGTAATCAAAAAGGTATGGTACTGGCACAAAAATAGACACATAGATCAATGGAACAGAATAGAGAACGCTGAAATAAATTCATGATTACATGCTTAATTAATTTTCAACAAAAGAGGCAAAAATATGCAAAGGGAAAAGAATGGTCTCTTCAACAAATGGTGTTGGGGAAACTGGAAAATTACACGCAAAAGAATGAAACTGAACCACTTTCTTACACCATACACAAAAAGAAATTCAAAATGGATGAAAGACCTAAATGCAAGACCTGAAACCATGAAAATCCTAGAAGAGAGCACAGGTAGTAATCTCTCTGACATTGGCCATAGCAACTTTTTTCTAGATATGTCTCCTGAATCAGGGGAAATAAAAACAAAAATAAACTATTGGGACTACATCAAAATAAAAAGCTTCTGCACAGCAAAGACAACCTACGGAATGGAAGAAGATATTTGCAAATGACATACCTGATAAAGGGTTAGTATCCAAAATATATAAAGAATTTATATATCAAACCAAAAAACAAATAATCCAATTTAAAAAATGGGCAGAAGACACGAACAGACATTTTTCCAAAGAAAACAGACAGATGGCCAACAGACATATGAAAAGATGCTCAACATCACTCATCATTAGGGAAATGCAAATCAAAACTACAATGAGCTATCACCTCACACCTGTCAGAATGGCTAAAATCAAAAACACAAGAAACAACAAGTGTTGGTGAGGATGTGGAGAAAAAGGAACACTCGTGCACTGTTGGGAATGCAAACTGGTGCAGCCACTGTGGAAAATGGTGTGGAGGTTCCTCAAAAAATTAAAAATAGAACTACCCTACAATCCAGTGATCACACTAGTGGGTGTGATTCTTTTAGCCAAAGAATACAAAAACACGGATTCAAAGGGATACATGCACCCCTATGTTTATAGCAACATTATCTATAATAGCCAAATTATAGGAGTAGCCTAAGTGTCCATCGATTGATGAATGGATAAAGAAGATGTGGCATATGTATACAATGGAATATTATTCAGCCATAAAAAGAATGAAACTTTGCCATTTGCAATGACCTGGATGAAGCTAGAGAATATAATGCTAAGTGAAATAAGTCAGAGAAAGACAAATACCATATGATTTCACTCACATGTGGAATTTAAGAAACAAAACAAATGAACAAAGGGAGAAAAAAAGAGACAAACCAAGAAAACCGAGAACAGACTCTTAACTATAGAGAACAAGCTGCTGGTTACCAGAAGGAAGGTGGGTGGAGGGATGGGTGACATGGGTGATGGGGATTAAAGAGTACACTTACCATGATGAGCATGGAGTAACGTATGGAAGTGCTGAAGTATTGTACACCTGAAACTAATATAATACTGTATATTAACTATACTGGCATTATAATTAAAAACTTAATAAAAAATAAACATTATCTGTCTAAAACCTTCAAAAAATAAAAAATAGGGGGATGCCTGGGTGGCTCAGTCGCTTAAGCATCTGCCTTCGGCTCAGGTCATGATCCCAGGGTCCTGGGATCGAGCCCCGCATCGGGCTCCCTGCTCCGCGGGAAGCCTGCTTCTCCCTCTCCCACTCCCCCTGCTTCTGTTCCCTCTCTTGCTGTCTCTTTCTCTGTCAAAAAATAAATTAAAAAATTTTTTAAAAATAAAATAAAAAATAAATATACTGGAATTAAAATTAAAAATTAAATTAAATAAGTAGATAGATAAAAGAGCCCCATCACTTCTTTTCCCAGACTTTTTCAATTTTTCTTCACAACATTTATGACTACCTGACATTATATTACATAATCATCATTTACTTGTTCATTTGTTCATTTTCTGGTATTGTCCCTAGAATGTTGAGGGCCGAGGTCTTGCTTTTCTACTGTTGTATCCTCAAAGCCTAAACAGTAACTGGCCCTCACTCGGCGCTCAAATATTTGTTGAAATGATTAATGAATATACAAGCTGTTATAGGACAATCTTCAAGTATATTGTTACACAAAGAAGCAATGAGCAGATGGCATCTAGAATACTTCTGTAAGGATCCACAAATTGTAGAAGGTGATTGCCTCTATGAATGGAGATCAAAGAGTGAGAGTAGGAGAGAAATGTATTCTTCAGTGATAATTTTTTGAACTGTTTTGAGTTATTCCCCAGGGGCATGAACTAACTTTTCAATTAAAAAAAAAAAATCCCTTTGTCTTGTCACTTGTGTCATTCTAATTGGACCCGTTCTGCTTATTGATAAAATTCCCCAACTTCCCCTCTTGCTCTACCAGGGTCCTGAGATTTGTTCAGTTCACCTTGATTTCTCTGAATAAAGACCACCACATCCTCTGAGTATTGTTTTTGTTTTGTTTTGTTTTGGGGGGGGTGGAGATTCCTTACCATCAAGACCAAAGACCAGAGTTTGACTTCATACAAATATACTATTCTGACGTGCTCCCGGGATGGTGGCTTCCCGAGGAAAGACACCCCCCCCCTCCACTCCCCTCCCAAGGAAGTGCAGAGCTTCCAATTTATAGCTTCTCTGCACTCCCAGTGACTCCTGGCTACCCCAGACCTCCAGGCTGCCAGTTCCAGATTATACCAGTCTCAGAATCGTGCATCATTGCCTTGGATGAGGTGTTCATAAAGGACAGCTGAAATGTGCCTTTCGGTAGGAGATGAAGGGGCTGTTTCCCACCCCACTGCTCGTCCCTGGCCTGGCTCCACAGCACCCGAGACCCAAAGACGTAGCTCCCTTGATTCACAGATGGTGAAACAGAAGCCTAGAGAGTGAAGGGCTTGTCCAAGGTTGCACAGGGAGTTTAGGAAAGCACCAGGACTAAACTTCAGGTCCCTACATTCCTGGTTCCAGACTCTTTCTGGCTAGATCTCCATCCAAGGGCCCCTTAGCCTGTCCCTCAGCTCCACTCATGGTTTTCAGAGGCGCTGAAGAGGAGAGAGGAGGAGAATGAGTTCACAATGGAGCAGCTCCTGGAGGTTCAGATGGGGCACTGGTCTATCATGGATTTTACGAGGGCTAGGGGCCAGCCCCTGGGCATTCTTGGAACCTTTAGGAACACCCTAGTCATCTCAGACCTCAGCCTCTTTCACGGACTTCCACATGCATTATTTCCTTCCCATGCTCCCAATCCCATGTACTGTAAATTGATTGCAGAAACTGCTTTCCTTTAAAGAAGAAAAAGAAAACGAAGTATCATAAAAGCAGAGTACATTAAATAAAGCAACTCTTTGCTTTTTTGATAATGCATTATCAGAGGGAGGAATCCTTAAGAAAACACCAAGGACAGGAGATTCCATTTTTAATAAATGTATGCATCAGAGATTACATACTCACACTCTTATAGTCAAAACGAATGCTAAGCTTTGGGAGTCACAGGTCTGATAGGGACAGAATCGAGAGGTGGCTGCCGATGTCGCCTCCATGGAAGGTCTCAAGAAAGTTCCTCTTCGGGGCTTTCCTATGCAGGACAGGAGGCGATGGGCTCCTACAATCTGGCATTACGAGCAGAGAGATTACCTGCCCTGCATGCCCTTTGTGTGGTTGTGCTGAAGGTCTGTCTCCACGCAGCTGTGTCCCAGCCTCATCAAACACATCCTCGCGCTGTTCGGTCTGGGAACCTCCTCTGCTGGTCTTGCTGGACTCAGAACCACAGGTATCTGAGCGGCTTCCCTCGGATGACCTTAGTTAAGCAGCTCTTTTGGAATCTTCTGGGACTGGCGCTAGCCCCTGACAGTACTCGAACAGCTACTAATAAACTATATTGTAACTCGCCAGCAAATCAGTAATGATGGGGCACCTGGGTGGCTCAGTCGGTTAAGCATCTGCCTTCGGCTCAGGGCATGATCCTGGGGTCCTGGGATCGAGTCCCGCATCCATCGGGCTCCCTGCTCGGCAGGGAGTCTGCTTCTCCCTCTGCCTGCTGCTCCCCCTGCTTGTGCACACACTCTCTCTTTCTGACAAATAAGTGGAATCTTTAAAAAAAAAAAATCAATAATGATTACTGCATTTGCTATTTCTTGGCGGAAACTTAGTGCATCATTTTGCATTGCTGTTATAATTCTATTCATAACCCAGAACGATTACAAAACCACACAAAAATAATAGCTACTACCTTTTGTTAAATACTTTCCTGTGTGCTGGGGACCTGTTTGTGTGGCCTGAACATTTCATTTACGCTCAAAGCCACTTTAGGAATATAATATGATTATCTCTATTATTCACATCACAAAAATGAAGACAAGGTCGGGAAGTTGCCATTCATGCAGCTCAGAGTCACGTCCACCTCACTCCACAGTTCACACTTTAACCATCAAATGATAAGCCTCCCATCACTGAGTGTCTAGAGCATCCACAGGATGTTATAGGCATCATGAAAGAAGGGATTCTTTTGTGGCCTCTAACTTTGATCTTTCTACTACTTAACCAAAGGGGTAACAGTGAGCTCTAGATTAGCTTCACACTCCTGCAGCCAGGTGTACAAAGACAGCCCCCCATCAACAAAACACTGTGGGGCTTTTATATGGCACACCACAGACAACACTGGGTCGGATCATTCGTTCCCTGAAGAAATCTTTATAATATCATACTTTATAATACATACTATTAACTGGCAATGTAATGCCATTCATTTAATTTGCTCCAACAAGAGTGATTCAGGACCTACTATGAGCTAGATATTATATGAACATGCGTATTCATATAAGGCATTGTACGTATTCATACAATGAGTGGGGCCCTGGGTCCCAAGGTGCTCTCAGTCTACTGGGGAAAATGTAAAATTGTGGTGCATTATAATGAGAATTGTCATAAAAGTGCAAAGTCCAAGAAAGCCTAGGATTATTCTGTCTGGAAGAATCCAGAGACCCAGCATTTAAACGGGATGTGGAATTGGACCGGGGTCCAGAAGAGTGAGCAGAAGCTCGCAAAGCCACAAGAGGACAAGAAAGAGAATCCAAAGGGTAAATAATGTAGAGAGGCTTGGCCCACTGCAGGTGCCAGCAGGTGCCGGCCAGCACCTAGGTGGCTAGGTGGTAGCACACGAGCTGGGGAAGGGAGGTTGGGTCAGGTCCTGAGGGTCTGGAGCACCATCAGTACATAGGACAATGGTGAGCCATTAGAAGTTTCTGAGCAGAGGAGCGGAGCAATTAGAAGCCTCTCCTGGGCGCCTGGGTGGCTCAGTTGGTTAAGCAACTGCCTTTGGCTCAGGTCATGATCCTGGGGTCCCGGGATCAAGTCCCACATCAGGCTCCCTGCTCAGCGGGGGGTCTGCTTCTCCCTCTGACCCTCCTCCCTCTCATGTGCTCTCTGTCTTTCATCATTCTCTCTCTCAAATAAATAAATAAAATCTTTTAAAAAAATAAAAAAAAGAAGCCTCTCCTGACAAGGAAAGATCACTCTGGATGCTGTATGGCCAGCAGATTAATAGGTATCTAGGTCTGGGTAGATTTTATGGCCCTGAATATTTAACTAAATGAATTTCCTAAACATGGAAAGTATGATACATTTTAATGCATTTCTGTCTGTCTCTCTCTCTATGGCAACTAATCTTAATTATCTCAGAATTCAGAGTTCAAGAAGCTATCTCACCTGTTTATCTTCAAAGGGAACAAGTCAAGGGTTTACTCTGAGTATTAAATGTGCATTTTTAGAGGGTTAAGTCTTAATTAAATAGCAGCAAAATCCAGATGCAGGTTACTGAAAGTGTCACTACGTGGAATGATAGGGGGAAAAATATTTTTGAAGTCGCCATGTTGAAGCATTGTTATAAAAAGAACAGAATATTCCTGTTACAAGCCAACTCATTGTACCCTGCTGTATAAATGCCACAGCCCAGGTGTCTTATAAACAATAAAAATTTATTTATTGGGAGAAATAAATTACGCTCCCCTGTAATAATAAGTCTAAGATCAAGCTGCTGGAGAGTTGAGTGAGGGCCCTTTTCCAACTCTCGAACTTCTTGTATCCTCTCAGGGCAGGAGGGGTTGGGAGCTTTCTGAGGCCTCTGTGATGAGGCATTAATCCCATTCTTGAGGCTTTACCCTCATGACCTAATCACCTCCCAAAGTCCTCACCTCCTGATACCATCATATTGGTCTTTAAGATTCAACCATAGCATGGGTTCCATTTACTGCATGTAAATTCATGTCCCTCAAGTTCTCAGAGCACCTTCCCCACTACAAAGAAAGTCTCTGGAGGAAATATGATCCAGTCTACTCCCTTGTCCCTCCACACCTGCCACCTCCCGCCACCTCCCCATCCCCCACCACATATATGGGCACACACCCAGTACCCAGAATTTGGTAACCCAATTCTGCCATTGTGGTTTAGCTGACACCAAAAGTTTAAACGGAGTCATCCCCAAAGCACAAAAACTGGGGTAACCACCCTGGACAGCAATAAGTGGAAAAGGAAGCAATTTCAGTTGGATCAAACAAAAGGGGTGGACCCAGGACCATATATAACAGCCTATGCGGTCAGTTGGTCATGTATTCGTTCAGAGATCAGCTGGTCTATGCCCAGCTCTGGCCCAGGCCCTGGGAATGTTGAGAAATCAGAAACAGCCCCTCTCCTCAAGAAACATCTATCTTTTTTTGATGCTTCCTGCAATTCCATAACTGCTTGAGTTGTTCAAAAGAGGAAACTGAGGTTCAGAGATGCTAATACACTTTCAAGACCAAGAACACCATGTGGGGGGAGATTGGGAATAAGACCAGGGGACAGGTAGGCACTGAGCCACTGACTCGGAGCACAAGCTCAGGAGAACACGTGTCATAAAAGTCCCCAAGTCTAGGGGCCAAATTTCCACACAGGGACCCCAGGTGAGGGGGCAGACCACTGCCTCGGCAGGAAGCAATGCAAACCATTATGTTCCCCCAAAGACCATCTTAGCACTAAACGCACATGTGTGTGCAATACACACATGCACACGCACACACACACACAAAAGGACTGACTTCCTAACCAGAGTCAAGATACTTAGGAAGCCATGCATATAGTGGTAAAAAGTGTGCAGCCTCCGGAGACACAAAGGCCTGGGTTCAAATCCCAGCTCTGCTGCTTAACAACTGGGCAAGCTGCTAAACCCTGCCATGTGTTAATAATCCTCATCTCAGGGGGCTGCTGTGGGAATTACATAAGGGACAATGTATGGGATGTGCCAGCATAGTGCCCACACTCAGCGACAATCATACAAGTGAGCTGTGACACTTCAAACTCAACAACCCCCAAATGCAAACCAGCGGGTTCCTTCTGCACCTGGATTCTCTATCCGCGTGATTTCCCCCCACTCGCCCAAATCAGGAGCCGCTCTGGGCCCCGTTTCCCACAGGGTCACCCCTCGCCTGTCAGCCGCCTTCATCATCCCAGCTAACACGGCTGCTATGATTCTGTGTGCACAGGGACTAAGCGGAGCATGCTAGAAGATCTTTAACTGGGCAGAGAAACCCTTAGAAGGCAGCTACCATCACTGTCCCCATGTTGCCTTTAAGGAAACTGAGACGTGAGGGAAGAAACCTGCCTGAGGGACGCCTAGGTGGTGCAGTCGGTTAAGCCTCGGACTCTGGCTCAGGCCATGGTCTCAGGGCTGTGGGATCGAGCCCGGCTCAGCAGGGAGTCTGCTTCCTCTCTCTTCTGCTCCCCCGGCTCATGCACACTCTCTCTCCCTAAAATAAATAAATTCTTAAAAAAAAAAAAAAAGAAGAAGAAGAAAAGAAAAGGAAAGGAAACTTGCCCAAAGTCACACATCTATTGAGTGAGAGAGCTCAAATTGTACACACAGTCTCGTTCCGAAGCCCAGATGCTTAAACGCTCCCCTGTACGTATCGCCTCTTCACCGACCAGTCGCCACCTAAGTCCTGTGGCTTCTCCGTGTTTGTTCTTCTGGGATCTACTCCCCGTCACCGGCTTGCAGGTGCAGCCTGCTCTGCTAAGGCGAAGGGAGCACTGTGGGCTTTAGGAAGGGAGCACTTTGGGCTTCGGAAGGTGCTATGGGCCACAATGGGGGGTTTGGCCAGCAAGGAGTCTCTGAGCCTGAGAAAGGGTGTTGCTCAGCTGGGAGCCACCCCAGGAAGGGGGGGTGGGGGAAGCAGGTGGTACTGGGGCCAGGGAGGAGCTGAGCCCATCAGTCTAGGTGTGAGGCACAGAGGGCCTGAAGTGAGGGGGTGGGGGTGGGAATGAAAAGGCTGCATGCGACAGACATTACCTCACCAGGCACAAATACTCCCGAGGCTGGAACTTGGTTTAATAATTCTGTTACTAGGGCAACAGCAAAAGAATCTCTCTCGGAAGGAACCCAGCGTGGCCCGTTTCTGCACAGAAGCGTGGCAGCTGTAGGCTGGGAGAGCAGGGGTGAAGGCGAGTGGCCAGACGACACAGCAGGATGCACGCACCAGGGTTTTCTCAGAGGCATTTTCCTGACCTTTCATCCTCTCTGGCTTGGGGAATGGAGAGAACTTTGTCTGAAGCAAGCTCTCCAGGAAGGTAGATAGCATGCTCCATGAAATGGGGGCTACTTGCACTCCGTGACAGGTTAGTGATCCTGCCCCTGACACTTGGGACACTGGGGGTCTCATGCAGAAGAGCTCAGACTGAGAGTCTGCCTGGCGACAGGAGCAAAAGCATTTATCACAAGGTTAACCCGTCACTCCGCTATCTGCTTTCCCCCAACTGGGTATCACTGAAACCATGGCCACACCATAGAGGTAACTTCTTCAGTTTGCCCAGGAAGTGAAATGCTGAGAAGACCCTGCTGTGGGAGTGGGTTCGTGGGCTCTGAGGAGAAGTATGGACGCTCCTCGCAAGGCCCATGGTCGAGTCAGCTTTCTTCCAGGAGCTCCCTGGGTCTCCCCCATTCATCCTGGGAATATCACGATGGCGCACCCGCATCACTCCACGTCCCTCTGACAGCCGGCCCTTCCAAAACACTAAGAGCCTTTCAAAGATGATAGGAACACTTTGAGACTTAGAGACCTCCTCACCAACCTCTCTCAGGATGAACGGTCTCCTTTTCAATTTCTACGCCAAATGCCAAGATGGCCCCTCACCATGGCACCCAGTGGCGAAACCTCTCCCAACGCCCAAGGCACTTGTGCTCCAAGTTTCTACTTCCCACCGAACAGATTTTCCTGAAAACCTGTCCACAAAGAATGCTGAAGGAGAGACAGGACTCGATTTCCTTCGGTCCTCCTCCTAACCTCCCAGAGCCTCTGTGAGATACGCATTCTGAGAGACCACCAAAGCTGCCACTGCTTTAGAATTTCAGTGTCAAAGATTGCTCTCAAGGGCAGGCTGGGGGCAGGGTAGATATGCTGGATTCTAGAGACATTTCCCCCAGAGTGGTTCTGCACCGTCTGGGGCTTTGATAAGTATGAAATGCCCAGGGGTCTGGCCAATGGCTCTAGCATGTTCCAGATTACCTTGGAAGGAATTCTCCTTACAGAAGTGGCTAACATAGGGAATCTGAGTCACCTCAGGCATCGACGAGTCAACGGTTGCTGGTTTTGCCACTCATTCTTTGAGTGAGCTTAGGAAAGTGGTTTTTCCTTTTAGCTTCCTTGCCTGCAAAAGGAAGAAAATTATTCAAAACAGTATCAAAGGTGAATGTAAGCCTTTAAAGCTGAGGAGTGTTGTAAGCCTTCTGAAAGGCGAGGAACCCCAAAGTGTAAATAGGTCACATAGCAATGGTGGTTTGATCTGGCCTGAAGTTAATGGACCATTTAGTACCTCGGAGGGGACAATTCATTCCATGGAGCCTGTAAAAACAATAATGAGCATTTTGAGGCATTTGCATCTGTGGTGGGGTATCGCTTACTAACTAAGAGCGTGCACTCAGGAGTAAAACTTTCGCCAAATCCTACCTTCATCACCCATCAGCTCTGTGACCTTGGACAAACTGGCACCTCTTAGAGTTTATCTTTCTTCATTTATAAGATGGGGTCAAGCCACATGACTCATGGCGCTGCCGGGAGGATCACATGCCTGACGAGTTGTATAGTAAACGGTAGACACTGTGTTGTATTAAATCACATTCAACCTGGGGGGGCACCTGGGTGGCTCAGTCAGTTAAGCGGCTGCCTTCGGCTCAGGTCGTGATCCTGGGGTCCTGGGATCGAGCCCCACGTCAGGCTCCCTGCTCAGTGGGAAGCCTGCTTCTCCCTCTGCCTGCCACTTACCCTGCTTGTGCTCTCTCTCTCTCTCTCTGTCAGATAAATAAATAAAATATTTTAAAAAAAAATCACATTCAACCTTTAGAACAACCCTGGTGAGGCAAGATTCGGCATCCCTATTTTATCAAAAAAGAGACATGTCCACAGAAGCTGAAGTGCTTGCCCAAAGTCACTCAGTGAGGAGGCTTTTCCTTCTGAAGCTCTTACAACACCACAGTCATCTCTCCCAAGGTGAAAGAGAGTCTGTGTTCTCCTCCCAAATCAATGGGCTCAGGCGAAGTCACAATGCGAGTTTCAGGCATCATGACCAGTCCACAGAAGCCTGGCCGTGGGCAAGAGTATATAGGTTTGTTAGAAGCTGAGAATGTACATCAAGGATGCCCATTCTCGCCACTATTGTTCAACATAGTACTAGAAGTCCTAGCGACAGCAATCAGACAACAAAAAGAAATAAAAGGTATTCAAATTGGCAAAGAAGAAGTCAAACTCTCTCTTTTCGCAGATGACATGATACTTTATGTGGGAAATCCAAAAGACTCCACCCCCAAATTATTAGAACTCATCCAGCAATTCAGTAATGTGGCAGGATACAAAATCAATGCACAGAAATCAGTTGCTATTTTATACACTAACAACGCGACTGTAGAAAGAGAAATTAGAGAAACGATTCCATTTACAATAGCACCAAAAACCATAAGATACCTCGGAATAAACGTAACCAAAGAGGTAAAGGATCTATACTCTAGGAACTACAGAACACTCATGAAAGAAATTGAAGAAGACACAAAAAGATGGAAAAATATTCCATGCTCATGGATCGGAAGAATAAACATTGTCAAAATGTCTATGCTACCCAGAGCAAACTATACCTTCAATGCCATCCCCATCAAAATTCCAATGACATTTTTCAAAGTGCTGGAACAAACAATCCTAAAATTTGTATGGAATCAGAAAAGACCCCGAATCGCCAAGGAGATGTTGAAAAAGAAAAACAAAGCTGGGGGCATCACGTTGCCCGATTTCAAGCTATATTACAAAGCTGTGATCACCAAGACAGTATGGTACTGGCACAAAAACAGACATACAGACCAAAGGAACAGAATAGAGAACCCAGATATGGACCCTCAACTCTATGGTCAAATAATCTTTGACAAAGCAGGAAAAAACATGCAATGGAAAAAAGACAGTCTCTTCAATAAATGGTGCTGGGAAAATTGGACAGCCACATGCAGAAGAATGAAACCCGACCATTCTCTAACTCCATTCACAAAGATAAACTCAAAGTGGATGAAAGACCTCAATGTGAGACAGGAATCCATCAAAATCCTAGAGGAGAACATAGGCAGTAACCTCTTTGACATCGGCCACAGCAACTTCTTTCAAGATACATCTCCAAAGGCTAGTGAAACAAAAGCAAAAATGAACTTTTGGGACTTCATCAAGATAAAAAGCTTCTGCACAGCAAAGGAAACAGTCAACAAAACAAAGAGGCAACCCACAGAATGGGAGAAGATATTTGCAAATGACACTACAGATAAAGGGCTGGTATCCAAGATCTATAAAGAACTTCTCAAACTCAACACCCAAAAAACAAATAATCAAGTCAAAAAGTGGGCAGAAGATATGAAAAGACACTTCTCTGAAGAAGACATACAAATGGCTAACAGACACATTAAAAAATGTTCATCATCATTAGCCATCAGGGAAATCCAAATCAAAACCACACTGAGATACCACCTTACACCAGTTAGAATGGCAAAAATGGACAGGGAAAGAAACAACAAATGTTGGAGAGGTTGTGGAGGAAGGGGAACCCTCTTACACTATTGGTGGAAATGCAAGTTGGTACAGCCACTTGGGAAAACAGTGTGGAGGTTCCTCAAAAATTTAAAAATAGAGCTACCCTATGACCCAGCAATTGCACTACTGGGTATTTACCCCAAAGACACAGATGTAATGAAAAGAAGGGCCATATGCACCCCAATGTTCATAGCAGCAATGTCCGCAATAGCCAAACTGTGGAAAGAGCTGAGATGCCCTTCAACAGATGAATGGATAAAGAAGATGTGGTCCGTATATACAATGGAATATTACTCAGCCATCAGAAAGGATGAATACCCAACTTTTACATCAACATGGATGGGACTGGAGGAGATTATGCTAAGTGAAATAAGTCAAGCAGAGAAAGTCAATTATCATATGGTTTCACTTCTTTGTGGAACATAAGGAATAACATGGAGGACATTAGGAGAAGGAAGGGAAAAATGGGGAGGGGGAATTGGAGGGAGAGATGAACCATGAGAGACTATGGACTCTGAGAAACAAACAGGGTTTTGGAGGGGAGGGGGAAGGGGGGATTGGTTAGGCCAGTGATGGGTATTAAGGAGGGCACATACTGCATGGAGCATTGGGTGTTATACGAAAACAATGGATCGTGGATCACCACATCAAAAACCAATGATGTATTGTATGGTGATTAACATAACATAATAAAATTAAAAAATAAAAAATAAGCAACGGATTTGACTTGGTGTTAAAAAAAAAAAAAAAGAAGCTGAGAATGTGATCCAATCCCCCCAAAACGGTACGCGATTTCAAGACTTCCCTTGGATTCCTCTGGAGAATGAATGCTGCAGAAATGTATCATGTGAGAAAGCCTGAAAACAAAGGCATCCCTGGGGAACACGGTCACATTCCTGGCCTGCACTCTGTAAGAGTCCAATCTCCTGAGCAGGGCTCAGGCAGCCTGAATCTCTGTCCCTAGTGCTGGGGCCTAAGGCTCCAAGCATCTGTCCCCCCCTGCACAGACAGGGTCTTGATGGAACTTTACATGGGGGGGTGGGGGGGACGGGGAGGCGTGGCTCAGAGCGCATCCTGCCTTGTTTTATAGAAAGGAAATCAAGGCCCTGGGAGCGACAGAAACAGAGTGCCTCCGTCGTGTGCACTTTGCTCTACCTGACCTTGCCCCTTCCTCTTCTAACATCAGGGACTTCTGGGTCATGAGAGGCTGTGGGAAGCACACTGACCCTCAAAATGGATCGTTAATCGGGGAAGGCAGTGACTCTGTCAGATACAGTTAAAAATAGGAGCCGGTCCAGACCAGCCCCAGCTAGTGAATTTGAACCTGATAACCAGGTGCTCCACAGCATGCTCACCTGATACCCACCTGTACTATGGAAGGATGGGCCCCCCCTCCGCCTGGTGGAGGTAGGGCAGAGGTGGGCTCATCAAACAGCTGTAAACGCTAAGGCAACCCAGCTGCTGCTGGAACTGCACGAGCGGCTCACTGGGAAGAGCAAATTCTGTTTCTGCAGCCACCTGACCAAGTGGGGCCACACGGTGTAAGCAGAAGGAATAGGAAGGCTCTCCTCTCGCCCTCCCCCAGTGGCTCCCTGCGGTGCCTGAGACCTTCCATTTCTATAGGAGTTTGGAAGTCCTAAGGAGAGCTGGAAATTCTCTAGTTCACCTCCCTCCATATAGAGATGAGAAAAATAAAGCCCAGAGAAGTTAAGCAACTCCGCCAAGGGCAAACAGCCTAGCTCAGAACTTTACAAAGCAGGAACCCTGAAATAATAGTCTCACAGATGATCCTTGAAGAGAAATTGTTTTAAAGGTTCGGAGATCAGGTAGTTGGGAAAGGCTACATTCTCTAGTCTCTCTTTTTTTTATTATTATGTTATGTTAATCACCATACATCACATCATTAGTTTTTTTCTCTATTCTCTTTTGTCTAGTCCACTCATTCTCTATTCAGCAAATAGTACTCAGTCTTGAAAAGCGGAATGCACTTTAGAGATCTGGTCTAACCTGGCAAAGCTGAAACCAGCCTGTGGGTATGCAGACCTCGCGACCACAACACACACAGCTACCTCGGGCAGAAGGACTGTGCCTTGACATTAGCCATTCCTGGTGCTTTGTTAAAACGGCAATGTTCCGGGAAGAGACATAGCTGACCAGCGTCACCAATAACTTTTAGTGTACTTCATTTGTCCGGGGCTTTTCGAAGTGAGAGCACTTGCCCTCCTAAGACCAAACAGCTAAGCCTGAGCCGGAGGCTGCTGTCTGGAGAAACTTCGGCCCCGCGAGGAGGCCAAAAATTAAACGGGGAAACCTGGAGACACTGGCTCCCCCGGAAAGAACTCAGAAAGAGGGAGAAAAGAAAAGGGGGAAAGTGGGTAAAATCACTCCATAAGCTTTGGCAGACCAGTGATCAGCTCTTCATCTGAAGGAAACAGATGACAAACCCAGCCCACCGGGAAAGCAGCCTCCCCAGCCGCGCCCCCGCCAAGCCACACACCCCACTCGCGGCCCCTCCCCCCCCCGCCCGGGGGAAGCCATCACTCCGCACATTAATTCCTCCCCATAGCCTTCACGGGCCACATTCTTCTCCCAGGCAATCACGTAAGATCTAACATGGAACTTTTTTTTTTAATTATAAGGAAAGGGTGGCTCCCCTATCAGTAAAATGCTACTTCAATGAGTACAACTACCCTTTGGGTCATTATTTTAAGTGTTTGAAATTTCTGCTTAAATAAGGTCACTTTCAATTTGGTAAATACTCCTAAGTCATCATCTTAATTCACGGCCAGTCACCCTAGGAGTGCTGAGTAAGTAAACATAATCAAGCATTAGCTAACCAGCCACAAATCCACTTGAGTTTATTAATTTCTCTCTTGGCAGAGAAGCAAGAAAAGGGAACAAACCATCAGAGACATTCACGCATCATTCATTCAATAAATATTTATTACATACCAGGTGCCAGGTACTGTGCTAAGCTAAATATAGGTTGCATTATTTTATTAATATTCACAGCTAAGTTCTGTATCAAATCCCATTTTCCCCCAAATATAAATCTTAATTCCTGAGGTGCTTTTTCTTCATTTCTGCCTCATGTGCCTTCTTCCATGGAGTAAATGATACATCCTAACTCTTAAGTTTCCAGACTCTCTATCCCTCCCTCCAAAAGACCCCCCTTCCATCATCCCTCAAATAGTTAATGAATATAAACTCCCACTAGAAGCTCTAGAGAGGCACTCACTATTTTAAAAGTCTAGGAGAATAGTAATGGTAAGAAATAGTTCATATTATTGCACTCAGATTTTTTTTATACATTTGGGTTTTGGTTGAGGGGAGTACCTTATACTTACTCTAAAGGCTTTTTAAAATACTAGCACACATATATATTCCAAATGCAGACAGGGCCGTAGGCATGCTAGGAAAGCAATCTGAAGAGGACCACCTTATCAGAGGAATTTCTTTTTCTCATTTCAAAGGAGGCTCCCTTTTCCCATACTCTCCCAACACCACCAAAAACTGGCACCCATCCAAATTCATTTACAAAGGAAAGGAACCACTCAGAGAACTGACCTTAAACAAATCGCTTTGCCATCAGTAAAGAAGCTACTTCCGAGGTCCCTTTATAGCCTGTGGATTAGGGGACCCAAGCTAACCTAATCCTCCACTACACCTCTGTAGGGACCTGGTACACCCACACACACCCACCCACCCACACACACACACACACACACACACACGAACCTGAGCACAGCCCCCCAGCCCCACGCTGCAGGCCCCGATGCCCCCAGGGACAGCCAGCTTACCGAGATACACAAAACACCCCCACACCACCCAGAAGGGGAGAGAGGCAGGACTCTCCCTCCCTCAGCCAGGCAGTCTCCTGAGGCTGCTGACATCACAAAGGTGTCAACTGGCAACCTCATTGTCATGTGGCTCTCCCCTGGCTCCCCTTCACTTGCAAACGCAGGGAAAGGGTGAGACCTTTCAAAGCCGCCAAGCGGGCAAGCTTCCAGCAGCAGTCTGGGAGTGAGCGGGCGGCCGAGCCACCAAGCCGGGCGGCGGGGCATTGGGCCTCGCGTTTCAACTTCTGTTCAGTTCTCCTGTAATGGAAAATTGCTTTGCACAAAGCTAGAGTGTTACAGTTCTTTCCAGCACCCCTCCTCCCCCACCCCGCCCCTTGGCAGGCTTCTGATCAGAGGGACAGCGCCCGCAGGAAGGTGGAAGGAGGGCAGTTGCAGCTTCTTACTATGTCCCTTGCTTCAGGCCCTGGCCCCGGGTGGTTACTCTTTTCCTTTGGAATGGGACTGGTCTCGGGGTCAAAGTGTCCAAATAATTGTCAGTGTCAAGCCCAGGAAGTGATCTGCACAGGGATCCAGTTAGCCGAGTACCCCGCTGATGTACCCCTGAGCACCCGGAGGCTATACTTGAATGATAACCGCATCACGTTTTTGCCAGCGATGAATCTAGGACTCCTCAGTGACCTTGTTTACTTGGACTGTCGGAATAACCTGATTCGCGAGGTGATGGATTATACCTTCATCGGGGTCTTCAAACTCATCTACCTTGATCTTAGCTCCAACAACCTAACCTTGATCTCCCCATACAGTTTCTCCGTGCTCAGCAATCTGGTGCAGCTGAACATCTCCAACAACCCTCACCTGTTCTCTCTGAACAAGTACACCTTTGCCAACACCAGCTCTCTGAGGTACCTGGACCTCAGAAACACCGGCTTGCAGACCTTGGACAACGCTGCCTTCCAACACCTCATAACACTACAGACCCTGTATCTGAGTGGAAACCCATGGAAATGCAACTGCTCCTTCCTAGACTTCACCATCTACTTAATAGTGTCCCATCTGAACCATCCAGGTGAGGGTCTGATTGCATGTGGGGACGAGGAGGATGTGATGGAGCAGGAGGAATGGGTTCCAGAAAAGGTAAAGTCAAAAAATGGTCAGGATGGGAGAAAACTCTGGGGGAAGCTGATCGAAAGCGTTCTTATTGCTCTGCAGGATCCACCTGGGGTTGACTGGAGAGGAATAGGGTCCGCAGAGAAGTTCTGGAGTAGGAATCCAAAGATCTGAGTTCTGGTCCCAGACTCAGCACTTACTAGCTGGCTGCCCTAGGGACAGACAATGTCTTTGAGCCTCAGTTTCCTGATCCATCAGGTGAGGACAATAATATGGCTCAGCGTATGGAGCTGTTGTGTCAACGTAAAATGGTATGTGTGGAAATGATCAAGTTCTTTAACTGCAAAGTAACAAATTCAGGGACGCTGTATTCCATTGGTGGACTATTTTAATCTGTTTGATTCAGTGACTGAATTTTTCTAAGATCCAAAAGTGAATTCACTCATGCATAGGCCATCCAAAACCCGACAACATGATGTACAGAGGAGAAAGTTCAATAGAGGTAGAGGGAGGGGCACGGGAGCTCCCTAGACAGTGAGAGTGGGAGTGGAGAGAAAGGAGAAGAGAGGCTGTTGATGGCTCCTTTGTCTTCAAGATGCTAACCCTATAAGGAAGGAGGGAATGGTGTGCATCCATGACGAACAGGTCACCAGTGCCCACATTGTCCAACAGGGAGATTCCAATCTCACGGGCAGATTCTCAAGTCTTACCTGGTAGATTTCCAAACCAGTTGCTGCCACCCCTCTGCCATGGTCCCCTGGGCACTCCAGTGCCTCAATCCCCTCTTCTTTTCAGTGACTTTTCTGTCCCATCCTCAGCCTCCAATTATCCCACTCTACCAACATCACCTTCACTCAGGACTTCAAGGAAATGGGAAATGAAAGCCTGGAGCCACGGATGTAATCTGGTAAAACTGGACTTCGGATTCAAACCCTGTCAAAACCATGTTTTCTCTCCCTTCCCCGAGTGGCTGTTTTGAAAATATTTTCATGCACCAGCTCCCTTCCCTGTGTGTTTGTTCTTGAAAAATATTTTCATGCACCAGCACCTGCTGAAGCCTCCACCATGAAGTTCTTGCCCAGGTGGCCATATCCCAGAAAGATTCCTGGCCAGCATGATAGGCTTTAGGGGGGCCTGGGGGAGAGGGAGCTGAATGGTGGTGGCAAGTGAAAATGTGCTCTCCTGGCCCTCCTTCCAGTGGACAGGTCTTAACATGTCTTCCAGGAAGGGCCTGGACAATGGTGAGGCAAGCGAGCCTCCTGGGATGCAAAATTCAGGGAGACAGTAAGAGTGGGTGGCTCCTTACATTTCGTGCCCTGGGCACCTGGCCCAGCTCCCAGGTACACAATCCGAGTTAGAATAAATCAAAAGGAAAGAACTTCATCAGACCATCTTCCTAAGAGGACGAATCATAAAAGAATAGAGGAGCAGTTGTCTTGGGAACTAGCCTGTGAAGAAGCTTCATCTTCTCTTGCCCCCTGCCCACCATAAGTATATATTTTCCTTGAGTAGAGCCCACCAAGTAGCCAGGAGGCCCTCCTACCCTAGCTGAAAAGGGTGACGTAGCTTGGCTTCTTCCCCAGTCCCAAAGCCTGCTGCTTCACCTGCCACCAAATCTCCCTCAATCAAGATTCTGCTTACAGAGTTGTGTCTTCTCAGAGTGCTCAGGATGACTGCTTTGGACTCCTTGACTCATTTCATTCCAGAATTGACTAGGATTATAAACCGGATCTGTTTCACTGTGTGTTTTCAAAAACACCAGAAGCGGGTATCTATCTTATCAAGCTCATAAGCTCCTCATGAACAAAGAGTCTGTCTTTTGAGGTAGACAAAGCTTTTATCCACTGGCCAGTATGAGCCCCCCACTCCGCCCCCAACTCACACCCACAACAACTGCTGATCTGCTCATCTCTCTCTGCTGTTTGGTGGCCTAGAGGAACTCAGCCAGACGACTTCATGCAGAACTATGGTCTCCTTGTCCTAGCTAATAATTGTTATCTCTTGAAAACACTAATGAGCCCAAGGCCAGACATAGAACAATTTATCTTTGTAGGGAGCTTTGCAGCTGCTAGAGTTTTTTCACACATGCGGTCTCATTTTCTTTACTTTAAATGTCATACCAGCCCTTAAATTTTGTGCCCTAGGCCTGTGGAAGAGGCTAGGATTGGTAATGCCATGACAGGGTTGAGAAAACAGACTGGCCCAAAATCACATGGCTAGGAAGTAGCAAAAAAAAAAAAAAAAGATTTGAACCTCCTGATTCAGGTCTTTTTTGATGAGACTACAATATCTTAAATCCCTGAATTCCATGGTAACTATGATCCTGTAAGTCAGTTTAGTTATAAATATGTCATGTTATAAGCATATGGCCACAGCGTCTAAATTACAACTTTATTTCCTATCTGACTACACATGGAACTCACCCAAGATCATTTCCATTGGATAATGAGCTCTAGCCATCATAAATTCATTACATGCCTGCATGCTCCTTATAAGCCCAAGTTCATCCCAACCTACCCAAACTCCCAAAGTAGGAGCCTAACCTCAGTATTTGCTCACCTTTGCATCTCAGTCAGTCAGATTGTCCCTTCCCACACATACACACACACATACCGTCACATACACATAAACACATGTGCAAACACACATACATATACCCACATACATATAAGCACAAAGATGTGCTCATACACGCATACCTATAGATACACCTACTCACATACACAATCACGCACATATTACACATACATGACACACATACACACATCAATATATAGATACACACCCGCACATGAAGAGGCACACACAGTAGAATTCATTAGATGCTTCTCTTGCCCTTGAGCCAGCCCTCAACACAATGGAAGATATTTCTTTTGTGTGACTCTCACATGATTCATGCCTCTGTTAAGTGGAAATATCTTTGCTATTGACAAACACTCAAGCTTAGGCCCACCTCTTTTACCATCTTGGCTATCAAAAGGTGATCTTCAGCATGTTCTAAAATAGAGCATATACATCTCTCTCCCCATGTACCCACACTGCAGGATCTAAGAAGAATCTCTATGAAATGAGCTGAGTAACCTGGTTATTTAGAAAGAAGAATCCAAATTAAAGATGGGTTTCATTTTAGACCCAGGAAGATATGAACGTTAGTATTGGGAGATTTTCCCTGTGGGAGAGTATTAAGGTCAGCATGACAGTAGGATGGCAGTATAGAGATCCCTTGAAAAGCAAGCTTCCATGCTACCACTCAGTTCATCCATTCATCTATTGAGTCCTATTATGTGCCCAACAAGTGCTCATGGAGAGAACCTTGAGCTGTGTGTGGAGACCCACATGACTATGGTCATCTGCACCATATATGTCCCATGGTCCAGTCAGGGACAGCAGGACTATCCTACTGGGCAGAGCAGGACAAAAGAGGCCACCATGTGCCCACCGGGTGGAGCAGGCACTTGGGACAGCCTCAGTGGCAGGTGGGAAAGGACAGCCAGCGTGCAGGCAGGGGAGCCCAGTGTTAAAGAGTCAGGTTGGAGTGAAACAGACCTGAATTATAACCCTAGCCCTGCCACTTGCTATTTATAGGAAATCAGAGAAGTTACTTAACCTCTCTGAACTTCAACTTCCTCATCTTTCAGACAGGTATAATAATAGAACCAACCTAACTAGGCGGCTGAGATGAGAACGCTTACAAACTGCCGTTAGCATTAAGTCTTGCATACCAAAAAGCATTCAATAAACGAATGGTTGGCAGATGTGGGAAAGATACAGGGTACTTAAGAGAGTAGCAGACATCAGTCAGGTGACCCCGGGATAAGCAGTAGACTTCAGGAAGCCTCGGCACACATGGAACGAGAGGACAGTGTACCCCATCCAGGAAACATGGCTATAAGGATGTATGGGGGGAGGGGGATATAGATAGGACGTTGAAAGGTGAGCAGCAGGTCCCAGGGCTCTAATCCCTGGGAAAATGGGACAGAGAGAATCTTTGAGGGAGTTGGATATTAGGCAAGTTATGAACACAAGATTTCAGACTGGGGAACAAAACCAGAAGCCCAGATCAAGGCTTCGTCTCAGCCTGGACCATAAGACTCAGGGCTGGGCCCAGTAGTAGCAAAGTGGTTCTTCCTGAGTCACCTGAATCTGGAACTGGAGTTCTACTTAAAGACAAGCCCCACTTGCAGGAACAGGTGTGGACATGCAGACAGCTTTCAAGGGATGAGGGCAAGGAGGTCCAACTGTGGGGCAGGCATGGCCTTGAAAGCAAGAAGTCACCTACATGGTGTGATTTTGTTATCTGAAGAAGACTTTGCCCCCATCCACTGCCTACCACTGAGCTAAAATTAGCCATTAGAGATTTATACCTTTGGATCCCCAAGAGTGCCCAAATCTTGAAGAGGACTCTGCAAAAATATATGAACTCCTGGGCTGAATAATACCAGTGCCCTCAAGCCTTTATCAGCTCTCACATCAGAGGCAGAAGTGAATTCTTGAGAAATACAATTAGCTAAGATTAATTCTGCAACAGTGGGGAATCTTGAAGGAAGCTGAGGTCCAGGAAAGAAATGGGGAGATCTTAAAAGGTGTGAAGGCAGTAATATGCTCTTCCCCTATGTCCCATGTTGGCTCAGTTCACCCCCATAAAGGGGCTGTAGAGAAGGTTAAATGTTTTATTCACCTTTTTTCATCATAAAGCTACACTGAATAGGAATATCAAAATTTTCCCACATTGGCAAGAGATTTGGTGCTATTATTAAAGGTCTTCATCAAAAGAAACCCTCCAATGATATACTCACCAGATGCACTGAAAACCATTCCATCCTCAAAGAGCTTACATACTCATTTTGCAAACATGAAAATCACAGCAGAAATGGAGGTGAGTTATAAAGTGCTGGTCACCCGGATGCTCTGATCAGTGCAGAGTTAAAAAGATTCCATTGTCTTTTTGGCCTTGGTCAG